TGTGTGTGTGTGTGTGTGTGTGTGTGTGTGTGTGTGTGTGATGGGATGTGTATTATGTGGTGTGTGAAGGGCTGGGCACAGAATACAAGGGGGATGCCTGATGGGTGAGTAGCAGGGCTTGAGGTCACAGCAACAGAACAAGCCCCTGAGTCCCTCAGCAGGTACTCTCGGCCCCACCCCAGGGCCCATGCCAAGGTCACTTGCTGGTGCAGTGCCCAAGAGAGGCTCAGACTCTGACCATCTGCGCCAGCCGTGGCTCCTGCCCATGAGGGTGTGCCACATCTGTCTTAATTAAATGGGGCTGCTGTGGGGGCAATGTAAGCCATGGGAGCCCTTGTGCCCCCCTCGATTCTGCAGAAGTAGGAGATTTTCAGCGACAGTGTCTGCCACTCCATCCTGGCCTGTAGCTTTTAGGGCCATGTCTTAGGGGAACTCAGGTCTGAGGGTTAACACCTGGGAGGGTACAACAGCTTCCAGAGTGTTTGCATCTTCTCTTTTGCCATGGGGCATGATCTTCACTGGACCACCTCCAAGCCTTTGAGAGTTTTGCTTATCAAGCTTATGCCTGTGTCCCCTTGTCCCAGACAGGAAGTGTCTGGGCACAAAGAAAGACCCCCATTCTTGGGCAGCCCCAAGGTCCAGCTGCCCAGCTGTGACCTTGATGGCACAACAGGACAGCGCAGAGATGAATGCAGTGCTTTGTGCAAAGACATTCGGAACTGTTGCCCTCTTCATCGCTGCCCAGGGCATAAGGGTCATGGCACAGAGGCCAGGACAAGCTGGAATCCTTGGAGCCTCCGAGTCCCCATAGGAAAAATGGCCTCACTGCCAGCCACACTCTAGCATGAGTGTGAGGGTGGTGATGCCCTTAGGTCATTATCCAGTGCTGGCCCCCGGTGTGAACAGAGAGCCCTGTCCATTACTGCTGGGGAACTGAGGAGCAAGAGCAGCTAAAGAGAATATAATGTGACAAAGCACTGGAAGGAAGGTCCGAATAAAGCACTGTGCAACGCCTCCGGGACCAATTAATTCAGCAAGGAGGTGGTGGGAGGCATGGGGGATCCAGGAGGGCTTTGAGGGGCCTGGAGAAAGGGTGGGAAGCCATGTTTCACCATGACAAGGCTGCCTCACGAGGAGACTTCTAAGCTGCTTATTTATTTAAAATAAGGCACGAAGTGGTGCTCTGCTTCCTTAAGTGTTGCGGCTTTGATTTGTGAAAGTCTGAGGGCTGGCACTTATTCTTGTCCCCCTCGGAACCCCTGGCCTCCATCAAGCTGCCTGGGGGCAGTGGAGCAGGCCAGGCCACGGAGCCAGCAGCCCCGCCCCTGCTCCCGGCTGTCCCTGGCCACTGCTGGAGTCAGTGATTTAGAGACCGCCTTGATGGACTAGCAAGCAGGGGGCCGCAGGGACGCGGACTGCCTGGTGGGAAGTGATCTGACGCTAAACTGTCGCCATAAATCGCTTTATCTGTCACTTCAGATTTAAATGTGCTTGTTGAGGCTTTCGGGCCTCCGCAACAAGCAGAAACCTCTGCGCATCGGCAGGGGCGGTGCCAGGAGCCGCAGCCAGCAAGGCCAATGTGCATAGGGCTCTGCAGACCGGACCAGACAGGACCGGGCTGGCCAGCTAGTGCAGACCCTGCTGGCCCTGGCCAGGTGCTTCCTCCTCTCCTGGGGACGCCAGGTACCACTTCCTGGGTCTGACCACTCTCGGCCTGTGGGGCCATCTCACAATGCGCATAGCAGGCAGGACAGTCCCCGAATTTCAGTGATCAGCCTGAAAGAGGTGATGGCCCCATATCACAGGTCACTGAGCCAGGACTGGGACTCAGGGCCTTCGGTCCACCCGCAGACTTTCATGGTGGATAGACTGCACCAGGAAAAGGAGGGCGTTGTTCTGCACTGTGAAGCACCATCTGATCACAGACAAGGGGTGGCATGTGACTGGAAGGGAAGAAGCAAAGTGCATGAAGGGAGTTCTGCTGCAGGGGCTGGAGGCAG